GTTAAAATTATTGAAAATTTGAAGATGTCATCATCTTCTGGTATTGACGATATCAATTCGAAAATAATAAAGAACACTGTTTATGTGTCTGGCAATATCCTGTTTCACATTTTTCGGCAGTCGCTCGCTACAGGAATGTTGCCTTCTGACTGGAAGATAGCGAAGGTAGTGCCAGTTCATAAAAGTGGTAGTAAAAGTTCACCTGGAAATTATCGCCCCATTTCTTTGACGTGCATATGTTGCAAGATGCTTGAACATATAGCTTCTAACATTTATGCGCATCTAGAATCTAACAATTTCTTTTTCTCAAAGCAGCACGGGTTCTGAAAGGGTCGTTCTTGCGAGACTCAACTCTTGGAGTTCACCACCGACCTACATTCTAGCATGAACAGTAATCTACAGACAGATTGTTCATTTCTTGATTTTGCAAAGGCATTCAATCGTGTTGCTCATTGTCGCTTGATATTAAAACTGTCATCACTAAAACTTGATTCACTCATGCTAACATGGCTCAGAAACTTCCTAACTAATCGCCAACAACTCACTATCGCCAACAATCACTCTTCATCACTCTATTACGTTTCCTCTGGTGTACCACAGGGCAGTGTTCTTGGTCCCTTACTTTTCCTCATCTACATTAATGACCTGCCTGACAACTTATCCTCATGTATGCGTACGTTTGCCGATGACAGCATTATCTATCGTCTCATCCGCAACATTAGCGATCATCTAACTCTTCAAAAAGACCTCGAGCATATATTTGAGTGGTGCAAAACATGGCAGATGACACCTAATGTTTCCAAATGCAAACTAATCACCTTTAGTCGCAAACGTGATAACTTTAATAGCCAATACATAATTGATAATAGCATTGTAGAACGCTCTGATCATTACAAATACCTAGGCATAAACTTAACTTTTACTCTTTCATGGTCCACACATATCACTTCTATCTGTGCCAACACATCAAGATCATTAGGTTTTCTGTGCCGAAATCTATACAGTGCTCCCTCTGATGTGCGCAAACTGGCTCATCTTGTTCTAATCCATCTTCAAGTGGAGTTCGCATCCTCCATTTGGTCACCATATCAACAATACCTCATAGATAAGTTAGAATGTATACAGAACAGAGCTAGTCGATTCATAGCACGAAATCACAGCTACCTGTCCAGCGTAACACGGATTAAACATAGCATTGTACTCGAGCCACTGAAAATTCGCTGGACATCTCACTTTTATCCATATTTCACAAACTCATCCACACCAGCATGGTGCCATCTGTTCACCTTAATCTAGCACATCGAACTTCGAGCAGACTACACCTTTGGTTTATCATGCATGTATGGCAATACTAACGCTTTCAACCAGTCGGCTCTTCCACGAGCTATTCGTTTGTGGAATGATTTGCCAGATGATCTTGCGTCAGAACAAGACCACACTAAGTTCTATCATACTCTTAAAAAATGCTTGTGCACCAAAAACTGCTCTATCGCATCTTCATAATCATCAGTGTTTATAGGACTGTTGCCGATGTTTTTGCACTATTGCTAGGTTGTAGTTACTGTCATAATATTTTTTTTGTATTTCACCTTCACATACTGTAACTCATTTTACTAGTATGTATTTTGCTTACATGTTCATAAGTTGAACTGCATTTTCTATTATATTCAATATTTGTCTGTGTATGTGTAGATATATCTGTTTATATATATTTTTAACATATTATCTGTACCGCCCCCCTTACACAATGCCCCTCGAGGGCTCTGTAAGGTAAATAAATAAATAAATCAGTGATAACGCTTAAGGTTTGGTGGCTACTGAATAAAAGACGACGATTTTTACTGATGATCAGTTTTTATTGACAGCCGATGCTCGGTTTGCGTTTATCACTGTGCAGTGTGTACTGTTGCTGGTTGAGATTCTATTTCTAGGCCATGGGTTCGCCCAAATAAAAAGTTTGATCTTGTAATAGCAAACTGCTACCTTCGTCGATATTACGACTCCGTGGCAATATTCACCATTCAAATAGTTCAAAGCGAATAGTGATTTTGGTAGAATAATTTAACATCAAGTTCAAATAGTCTATATGACATATATAAAAAAATTGCCATATTTAGTATGACCTAACTAACCTGCTTAATTCTAAAAAAATTAAAATAAAACCTCTGTGCAAATGGCATTTTTTTTTTTGTTCAAAGGAAGCCAGAACAACTTTGAGCAGCAGCGGGATTTGACTTTCGATAGAATGCAAGTGATAACCTTTAAAATATGTTACATTTAAAATTTACTGTATTTAGAGCATATAAGCTGGCGTAACAAGCTTTTAGACGTAAAAAAAAAAATGATGAATTGATGTAAGGGTAATATGTTTATTTAAAGGGATCCTGCCACACTTTTCAAGTAGCCATGACTGGATTCATTAACGAAGCTTATTTATTGCTTCACGAATGCATCACCGCAAAGATATTTAGAATCTGTTTGGTATAAGCGGAGTTACTTTTGCATACACACGGGTGGACAAGTTGCGGCACCAGTAACGATCAATGCGTCATGCTCAAATCAGCCAATCATTGATACAATGGCTGTGATGAGTGATTTTTCAGCTTGTGGCACAACTTTTTGAGAGAAGGAAAAGCAATTTCCAGCTGACTTTGAGAATTTATTGGAAATTTTTGGCTGCGTGCTACGCAATATTTGGCTCACATGTTCTCTGGAGCCTCGACTACCAATCGACAGCATTTTCCGACCATGCTGAAAAAGTTTTGAAGGGTCCCTTAACCCTTTCGTCATTGCGCCTATTTAAATCGATCACCAATGATTGACGTTTTGAATCATTGATTTTGGCATGTCAAATTTGTTTCTCGTGCACCTAGCACTTTCTGCTAGTTAGTCTAGGCCCGCTATGTTCAGAATCAATTTGAATTCGCCTGTTTTGGTAACATAGCAATTTTCGGCAGGCCTTTGTGTGAACCAATTTGTGTGTGTTGTTAGAAATATGCACTAGGCAAGCAAACTTGAGAAAAATGTGTGCCTCTCATGACTATGCTTCTGTAACATCGAAGTTATATAATGAAAGAAACATTTGCAATTAAAATATTGAATTAAAATGTCAGCTTCGTAATTTGACAGTGTTGAGAAGTTTTAATTTCCTGAAATTTATGCCAGCTACTGAATAGAGAGTGGCTGCTAGGAGTCGGGGAAAATTTATTCTACAAAAAATATTTCTGGAGTTCCGCCGCATGTCGCAAGTGTCGAGGTGGCCTTCTCAACCAGTTTCCAGCAGCTTTCGTTTTGCTTGTAGTGCTAATCAGACATAGGGTCGCATCTAGTGTCACGTAAGTCACTCCTATGGAGTCGTCCTCATGTGCACATGGGTGTGCACTAGCGCTGAAAAACACACACGCCACTCTAACCTGTCTAGCAATCGTACCTGAATTGAGTGAGGATGAGCCTAGAGTGCGAGGATAACAGCACCTCAGCATCAACATTTATGGCGACAATGTTTTGCATCAGCTTGAGACATCCGCAGCCGTTCATGGGTTTGTTTTGTTTACGGCCTCAAGTTGTCTCCACTGCCGCAAGTGCGTAGCTACCTATCTTTGGGCACAAACTTATGTCTACTCTGTTTAAATATAAGGTCCACACTTCGCTAGGGAGCGGTGTGCTGGCGCCGGCTGCTGAGCTTCTCCTAACGACAACAAGGCCAAAGGAACACATCTTGGCCCTGAATATGAAGCAGTGTGAAACGTTTTGGAACTGTGTGCGATACTGTTTTTTTTTTTTAATATGATGTGCAAAATGCTAAGAAATGTGCTTGTATGCATATTCATATGGATGCATATGCCAACCTATACGGAGGGAGCGGCTCATTGAAAGAGGTGATGCTAGACAAAATAGCGAAGTTCATTGGACATTTGGTTTATAGACGGATTATTCACATCACGGGAATCTGTCTATGTTAAAAGACCTGCAGGCTCGTATGACAAAAGTGTAAGGGTTCATTTGCGTCACGAAAAACCAAGCAATGCTTCACCACATGGCACGAGCACCGAAGCAGCACCTTGGTTCTGATTTTCTTTGTCTATTTGAATAGAAACATTATGTACAACATTTATTATTTTTTATACTGTTTCTGGGTCATTTATCGTCAAAATGTATATTCTGAATTTTATGTTCTTTATGCTTTTGCATTTATAGCGTTCTTTAATGTACCGTTCACGAGCTGGTAACCAAAAATTCCACACTTTTCACATTTTTATTCATTCTGAAATATTTTTGTTGCTCTATAACAAAATTTTTTGGAAAAAAAATTTCATTGTGCAAAATTTGGTATGCAGCAATGCGCGCTTTCGTTCTTTTGAAACTGCTGGTAAAAACAATTTTTCCGATACATATGAAAAATAACCATGTTCGCGCAGTAACGAAAGGGTAAAGCTTTGAAAAGAGGCTTTGCCGCAGTGCCAATTTTTTTTTTTTGGATAGCTGTTTTCATGGCTTAGCGTTTCTACACTGCAGTGAAAAAACTCTTTCAGGAGGTTAGATGTGGGATAATATACATCTATTCGTTCATACCGATTACTTCAAAATTTTCAATAATTTAGATTTGAGTCGAAGCGAATTCGAATATGGTACTACTCGAATATCGCACAAGCCTACTTTTCTACATAAACAAAAAAAACCCACTGGTGTTGGTTATGTCACTATTTGGCTATTGTTGGGCCTAGCACAAATTATCATTTACTTCATCATGCCATACTTGACTGTAAGCATGACCCTTCCAATTCCAAAGCTGATTAGTTGCTGGGTTTAATCTAGGTTTACCATGAGTTTTTAGGGGCTCTGAAAATGTGTCGCACAATTAGTTTAAGTGGGAGCTGAAGTTTGGCTTGTGGGGCTGGCACTTTTGGAGAGGCCTTGCTGAAGAGAGCATATTCTGACATGTAGAGGACCTCTAACAAAATGTTGCATCCTCATGTGGGGCCCGCTTGTTTCACTTTCAGATGAAGATGTCCTGGATACGTGGTTCTCTTCTGCTCTTTTTCCGTTCTCTGTGTTTGGCTGGCCACAAAATGTAAGCAGTTCTCATAATTGTGCAGTGCCTCCCAAAATCAGTCAGCATCATCATAGTCATAAGCAAATAACAAGGAAGCTGAAATGATGCATGCCTTGGTAGCCTTACACTGCTTATGATGCCACTTTGATTGAACGAGTGGCATGGTTTGTCCACAGCAATTTCAGCACCCTAATTTGGCATGGTATTCATTGTTCTTAGCTGTGCAATGGTGTAGTTGCACTGGCATGAATGGGTCGCTATGGACACAATTATAGATGCGGCAAGAGGACCCAGTTTACATTCCTTCAGACTGTTGGGCTGGAGACGTGTAGTGTTAGTTTCATTTTGCCTCACTGTGCTCACAAATATTACAGGCAATAAGATGAATTTCACTATAGCCTGAATCGTGATGGATGAGCAAAAAAATAATTAACATGTTAGTGAAAATCACACACCTAAAATTAATACTGCGAATCTACATTGCGAAGAAACTCGGCCAACTGTGATTAGAATTTTGAGGCACAGCAAATGCTCATTGCCTATCTGCAAATGCTTCAGTGTAAGGAAAGCTATTCATTGTAAATGTTAATTGTTGCAGACTTGCTCCCTGCACCATTTCTACCCACTGTCTCTGATGGAGACTGGACAAGACATCCTGTTCTTCTGGGTGGCACGCATGGTCATGCTTGGCAAAGAACTCACCCAACAGCTGCCTTTCACTAAGGTATGGCAAAACCTCTATAATCTCAACTCATTCATTTTGAAAGCTGGCTTGATTAGGGCAATTTCTGCCATCCCATACATCAGACATTCCTTCATTTTACAGCGAAAGATGTTATGAGATGAATACACGGGTCACACGCGGCGTCGTAGTTGTCCGCCGCCGTCACCGCCAGTGTCTGTAACCACTGTCACACGAAATAAGAAAAAAAAAAAACCTAATACCAAAGACACAGTAAGCTCGAACACGAATCCACTGCGAGTCATCCCAGTATTCTACCACTGAGCCACACTGGTACTTGGGATTGTTTGCAAACTTGCCTTAGGCATTGATGTTGGGAAAAGAATCGTCTTAATATAAGTAATAAAGCATTTTAGAACAGCAAAAGAATGAGGCATCACAAAATGCGAATAGCGTAACGAGTGGGTCATCCAATGCTCCAATCCGTTACAAAAGCTTGTTTTTGATCACCTATTATCTGTGGCGCCTACTCACTTCAGGCATAATTCTTCATTGTCGTCAGCCACTGCATGAACAATTGGCACAAAATTCCTTGCAAGTGTTAAGTGGATACAACGCTTCTCAGAAGAATGACGAAAAATGGCATAGTGAATGCCAGCCTACTACACAAAATTTTTATTAATAATGCCGTAGTGGGTACCCAGCAAGTGTGCTTGCAGCAATTACCCTATGAGTGTTTAGAAAAGGCTCTGAAAGGCCGCTTTCGTTGTGACTGTTCTGCGCCTTCCGCACCATGCTTGGCATTTTTTCTCCCCTGTTTTTTGGAGTGGCACCTGTATGTGAAGAGGGTTGAAATGGAAAGGTGATTTAAAATGATGCCAAGATATTGATGCTTGGCAGTGAAAAGGTGCAATAACTCTGTGAACTTGTCTGTGCTCACTAAAATATCAGATATAATAGTTCTTTATGAGATTCCCGGTGAGTAAACCACACAGTACACCTTAGTGGAAGTGAAGAAAGGGGCATCCTCACAATTTTCAGCAAAATTGTTTGTATGCAGTGTAAATTAGGCATTAGAATTTGAAACAATGATTTTCAAATTTAAATAATTTTTACAATCATTGCCCAAATCATGGCCAGGCTTTCTTTCTGTGGCGTTATTCATGCAATGCATTATGAATGCGTGCATTTTTTGCAAAGTTTGGTCTTGTTCATTGAAATTGAGTGGTTACAGTCAGTGCAGCCATCATAAAATTTCACCATGCAACTCATTTGAATTTCTTGTGCTTTAAAATACTCTTCCAAAAGTTTTTGCATTGTGTGATAATTTCTCTGCCAAGTCTTCAAAGGAACGATTGAGACAAGCAAATCTTTAAAGGTAAACACTGCACCCGTTATTATTCAGCCTCAGGACAAATCATTTTGGTGTGCCTATAAAATGATTGAAATTTAACTCTTTTGTTAGAAAGTTTCTGTGTATGTGCAAAAAATTTGGTTTTGCATCTGTTCACATTCTAGCTAGAAGTCCATTTCTGTCGGTGCAACAGAGCTTCCAGAAGTATTTGAAATATGTAATACTGTCTTCTGCATTATGATTTCAGTGATTGCTTAATGTGAAAAATTTTTCTTAATTGAAACCAGCTATGTTACTCAGAAAAGACGGCCCTAGCATTCACGTATGTCGACAAATTGTACCAGTGAAGTGGGATCAGGCTGGCCAATGCATTGCCTTAAAAATCGACTTGAAATGTGAACAGTAATACTTCAGCATTTTGTACAGTCAACTGCCGATTTTATGAACCCTCTAGGGAGCGAAAAACCAAAATTCTGGCAGTCCGAAAAAATCGATGCAAGCAAAAAAAAAAAAACGCATTATTTTACTGATAATGTTCAATGCAAGCAAAAAAAAAAAAACGCACCATTTCATTGATATTTCTCAGATCAAGAGGGTCAAGGTCAAAGTACAAGACTTCGGGAACTCTGCCAAAGCATCAGTGGGGTGGCTCTGAAAAGAGCCGTTAAAAAAATGCATGCAGCCGACAGCGGGTGCCGTCAGGGCAGCTGCTGTTAGAGCTGCAGTGGCTTGAAAAACTTGATCCTTGTTTGAACGGCGTTCCGCTTGCATGTGATCACATTCACCTTGATCTGAGCAAGGGTCATGTCATCACTGTACACCGCTGACAGCATCATCAATGCTCGCATCAATTCGGCGGTTGTAGGGGGCGCAGGCGTTGGTTCCTCTTTTTCGACATCGGAGTCGTCTGAATCCGCCATAACCTGACTGACTATTTCGTCGTTGGTTAGCTCTGCGCAGAAGTCGAGCTCGTTGTCAGCATCGACGAACCGCTCAAAAGTTATTTCCGTGGGCATGGAAGCACCAGCAGAGCGGAGGTCGTTGATAATATCGTCCATGAGAGGGCACAAGTCAGTCACGCTGTCGCTTTCTTCAGGCAAGTCTGCTGCATCTGTGTCGAGTACGAAGCCCGCGTGGTGAAAGCAGTGGCGAAGCGTCTCTTGCGGTACTGCCTACTATGCATCCGCAAGCATTCCGACAGCAGACCGAAGGTCAACGCTGTAGCCTTTCCCGTTTTCCGAGCACAGCACCATGCTGTTGAGTATACGTGAACGGTACAAAAGTTTCAGATTACAAGTAACGCCTTGGTCTATCGGTTGGAGGATCCCAGCCGTGTTGGGCGGCATGAATTCCAGCTGGATAGCCTTCAAGTTATTGATGTGACCATGAGCAGCGCAGTTGTCAATGAAGAGCAGAACGCGTATGTTCTGTTGTTCAAACTTCCTGTCGAACCTGCGGACGTAACTCTTGAACAACTGGTGCGTTACCCGTGCCTTTTTGTTGGCTTCGTATAACACTGGCAGCGTTGTCACTTTAAAACACCTCGGGCTCTTGGACTTCCGGATTTCTAACAAAGGAAGTTTCTCGCTGCTAGACATGTTGCTGCCGACAAGAACGGTCAGCCGTTCTTTGCTATGATTCCCACCATGGCATGCGTCACCAGCAAAAGCGAGTGTTCTTTCCAGCAGCACCTTGTAAAACAAGCCAGTTTCATCGCAGTTGAAAATGTTGTCAGCAGAGAACTGCTGCAACAAAGATTGAAGTTTTCTGCTGCAGTACTGCACAATAACTGCACTGTCGACGGCGCCACTTTCGCCACACATCGTCTTGAACTTGAGGTCGTTCCAATGCTTAAAGTTTCTCAGCCATCCATCACTGAACTTGAAACCCGTGATGTCCATTCGAAGCGCGAGAGTTTCCGCTTTTTGCTTCAAGATGCAGCTTGAGACTGGCAACCGCTTGGCAATCATTGAATTAAGCCACACTACGAGAGCGTCCTCAAGCTTCTGATGAACACCTTGGCTTGCATTCATCTTATGGGCACCAGATGGTTTTTCGGCCGCTTCCAAGATCTTGTCTTTGTTTCTCAGGAAATCGGAAACTGTTTGCTTAAAAATGCCGAACTCCTTGCTCACGTCAACCTGCGATCGGCCACTCTTCACTACATAAATAATGGCGGCTTTCTTCTCCATTGTTAACCGATGGAACTGTTTTCTGCGCTTTGATGCCATCGGCGAGGACGATGAAGGCGGAGTGGGGGCCATTGCAGGCAAGCAAAATCCTCATGATATGAACAAAGGAGTTTGCTGACGAGCGTCGAAGGGCCTAGGTTTAGCGTTACAGAGCAGACTTCACACGATCATACAACCACGCACTAGGCTAGCCAAACACCATGTGGGCTGCGTAAACAAAACGGCGCGACGGCAGGTGACGGTGCTTCGGGTACTCCGGAGGTGGCGCTGGTTAACATTCAAGATAGCCTGCGTAGCCATACAAAATCGATGTGCGATGGTTAGTTCTAGTTCGAAGTGGTGAAATGCTCCACGAAAGCGCTGCGCGGGAAGCCAGAGTGGCACGCACGAGCACAAGCGCTAAAGCGAAAGGAACTTTATTGGCGCCGAAAAATTTCCGGGTGGATAGTTTCAATTGTCAGTGAAGCACCCTTGCACGATAAACATGGCCAGTGTTAGGAATCGCGGAGGCCATGTGTGTTTCTCCGCTAACAATCAACGAGTCCAAGCAACAGATGCCACCACAGTAGACTGGCGCGCTCATTTATGCGATCGTAATCGCGTGTGACGCAGTTGTGGTGGTTTCCACTGGAGGTCAGTGGTGGTTCCCGACCTTCCGTTGCGTCAAAAAGTTCGGAAAATCAGACTCCGGGGGGTTCCAGCGTCTGAAACTTCAGACTTCTTTCTACATTGATTCTATGGGGCTCGTGGCGGTGCCACGAAGATGTCCGAATTATCGGGCATGTCCGAAAAATCGGCAGTTCACTGTATAAACATCTACAACTTTTGTAAACAAACGGTAATAAGTGCGTACAGAGCAATGACAGTCTTCTAATATAACAGCGAAAAAGAGTGCAAAACTCAAACAGAACACAAGATGAAGCAGAATAATGGCGCTGACTTACAACTGACTTTATTTTATGATATGTAAGCACACATATACCCGGACAGTCAGAAAGCAGAAATAAAAAAATGTGCTAGAATGCCCTTGTTTCTCGTCAATATGCGTCACTGCCGGGCACCACTAACACATGCTGTATATGTCACCTATGGTTCAAGAAATCAAATTATTTTTGGGAAAGGGTTAAAGATAGTGTGCTCACACAGTTAGTCTTCATACATTCTATTTGTGTCGCTTTAATTGTTTATCTTATGAGCATGAACCAACTTGTCCAAACCTCAACCCTGGTGGTCCTCTCAAGTTGGTTGTAGCAGTTTATGCCCGCATTCTTTGAAAAGCTCACTCTAAATTCTCAAGTTTTTTAATTATTCGGCTTCATTCAAGAAAAAGAAGCATTCATCTATCATCTTGTTTTCGTGTGATTTTTGTTGCACTGTGAGGCGACCAGAACTTCGTTAGTCAAGTGGTTGATTTATTGATATGTGAGATTTAACATCCCAAAACCACCATTTCAACCACCCAGGGTTCTTTAAAGTGCACCTGAATATGAGCACAC